GCCCCCGGAATTTTCGGTGTTAACTAAGTTAAAAAGCTAAATTGTACTAGACGGAGGGTACGCACCTTCCCCCTAGTACAACAACGGTCATTAAGGCCTCTAACTCGGGCATACGCCCGGAGCGGAGGGTTCGTCGCTGAAACGCTTGCTGATCATGATGGTCTTATGCCTTTGACAGGCCCACCCAGGAGCGCCATAAAAACGTCTATGTAACATTCGCCCAAATACTACACAGCGACGGAGCGTAGAAAAAGTACCTATTAACGACTGGCAGGCGTCAGTTACCTTAATCCTACTCGTTTTTCACCGTCTCGACCTTGCCAGTTGATTTTCTGGTCTGTTTAGGGCAAGGTAAAAAGTTACCATTTTTAGGCCATCAGTCAAACGACTTTTGATCAGCTTTCGTTTACATGCGAACACAAGCACATAGCTGAGTCTCGGATCCTCAGACTACGTGATTGTCATTAAAAACACGGCTCAAACAACCTATTTTAACATGTTTTTGTGTGACAGTTCTATATTAAATCCATTGGAGATGGATTGACCCTTTCCTTTTTCTAGCTACTCATTTTCTGAAATATCAAACAATAACGGTGTTAATTAAGAGATCTATGACATTCCAGTAGCTATAAAGTTAGTTTATACAGTCCCTTCACATAGAACAGTCTCTGGGGGACCAAGCCTCCGCTCCCGTAATATTCCTGAGATAACGCTCTTATCTCTAATAATTCGTGTCCCGGGAGGGTTCCGTGGTGTATTTCTTCCCCCACTGAAGCCTCCTTCTCCACCAATATCTGTTAACAAGTGTCTTATCGTGCGTTGTTGCCACGATAAGAGGCTTCGTGTTTTCCGTCTCTGGTACGACTGTTTTTCACAATATCTATCGTTGTTCTTTTTTCGTCACTTTTTCAGTCAAAATGGCCGTTTTTCGTATTTTTGAGAAATATTCTTCTTCCAATCGAAATTTTAAAAATAAAAATTCTAGAATATTCCGACCCTCCTTCGCAATACTTTTTCATCAATAAGGCCTTTAGTCGTTCTTTTTTACGTCGCCGGAAGGTTGTGCTGTGCCAGTCTGGCAGAATGGCACAGTTATCAGTCACATTTATGCTTGTGTTTGCGAAGTGCAACTTCGACTCTGTTTAATTATTCACCTAGCAATGAGTTTCTGGGCTTTGGCTTGCAGTAGCTCGCATGTGATATTTTTTTTTGGTTCGGATGAGCGGTTTTTGGAAATTTTTGTCGACCAAATTGATTGTCTCCGCGGGTTTAATTCATGATATCACTCCCCCTATGGCATCTACTAAATAATCTCCACCCCTATACATAAATACAGTTATTTAGCAGCAGAGCTTTGGATTGAGAATTCTAATTTTGCTGCACTCTGATTGGTCGAAAATTCGACTTATTAATCTCCCTCCCTTTCTTGAATGGGGAGATTGTTAAATAGATCCGTCCTAGCTCCTCTAAAAACCTCTTAACTTGGGAAACACCGGTAACAGGGATAGAAAAGGGACTATTTACCCCCCTGATACTGCGTTACGACTCCACAGTACGCTTATAGAGGGCGCAGTACTTTAAATAGATGTGACAAATTTAGTTTCGAACACAATCCAATGACTCCCAAAAATTTGGCTAACCTTCCTCTCTGTAACTGTCTTTGCAAAAAAATCAGATGCCAGCTTCTAAAAATAACAACACACGGATAATTTGTTTATTGTTCACACTAGCGAGCTTTAGTGTATTAGTACGAGCCTTTTTTCCGAACAAACACGGAAGTAAAAGTGTTAATTGAAAGTGTTCACTTATACGGAAGTTTCACTGTAGCATTGGAAATTGCATAGCATCTGTTTTCTGATTTGTTTGTGGCTGGTGTTTGTCAGAAAGTAAGCGTCCGTGGCTGAGTGGTTAGTGCCTGAAATCATAATGTCTAGGTTGCAGTAGGTCTTCTGTTCGAATCCGAGGCTTGAAACTGTAAAGATTTTTGCTGATTCAATTTCCAATATTTCCGGCATGTTAACCTTGAACTTCTATCGAGACATAACGAAAATTTAATTTTTGGTGGAACTTTTTTCAACGTTTTCCATTTTTTCGACTTATGTTTTTTTATGTTTGTGTTTAATCGCTAGTGTTGCGAAGCAAGTGGTTCGAGTGTGTCAATGATCAACATGTTTCCGTGGTTAGCAGTTTAACACACTGAACAAGATCAGTAAACTTGAAATAGCATAGCATGTGGCCTTTCTCCAGCTCCTTTTCTACATTTTTCTGTACACAGCTCCTTTTTTAAATCACTGGCTCCGGTCTGTTTTCCTGGCCTTCTGTTTTGGCATAATAAAGGTTTTCCTTTTTAGTCTTTTGTTCGGGATTTTTCCTTTCGTTGACCCTTTTCCTGCCACTCACATCCTCAGTGAACCCCCTGCACCTTGAATAGACCAGTTTCTTCTTAAGTCCCGGGTTTGCTTCCTTCGCGCTATCAATCACCCGCTTCACTTTTTTGTAAGCCTTGCCATCTAGAAAAATTTTCAGCCCCCTTTCCTTGCTGATCTTTTTTCAAATTTTTTTTTAAATCTGAAAAGAGAAGATTTAATTATTATTTTTTTGATGTTGACGTTATCTTTGCTCGATCCGATTCTTTTTATTGGCGATGCTGCCAGTTCTGCTCGTTGTTGTTGTTGTGTGTGACCGCCTATTATCTTGAAATAGGGTTCTAAAAAAGCCCTCTTCAGAATAAACTTCAGAACGTTCTCGGGGCCGCCTGCAGCATTTTTTTTAACTCGGGTTGATTGCCGAGACAGGTCTTTCTCTCGGCCCCCATCATAGGCAGTAGATGAGGAAGTGTTTTGTGTCTTCTTCGTCCTCCGTCCCGCAGTGCTCGCACGTGGGATCTTCGGCGTTTCCTTTTCTATGTTTTGTTCCTTTGAGTGGTAGGTTGCGGTTCAGTCGGTACTTGAAATAGTGCTGCTCGTTCCAGGTGTCCTCATCCAATCTTTCAGAATTTAAGAAGTTTTATCTCTAACGATCTCTAATTCCGTTTTTAGTAGGCGGCCAAAGTGAACCTCAAACGGCAAAGTTTTTCTTGCTTTTTGCTTTGATCAACGCAGGTCTCGTATGATTGTAGTTGAGTATAACTTGATCGATGCTGCTTTTTCTTCGGGTAGCATTACTTCGAGTCTTATTTTTGGGAGTCGATGAACGTAGTGTAAAATTCTTCTATAGGTTGTGATGATGTTGTTTTCGTTTTTAAGAAAATTTTAAGGCTCAAATTTACTTTTTCGCGGTTTGACTTTTAATTTATTTCAAGTTCAGGATGATTCGAGACTCCCCTTTTCAAATTGAGGGAAATTGTAAAAATGCATCGTCTTGACAATGTGATTCTTTCTTCTTCGAAAAGTTGAGCACAGTGTTCATGAAAAGCTTGGAAACCTGAAAAGACTAACTCTACATTAGCATACTTCTGTAGGAATCGCTTCTTTCCTTCCGACCACCACTGAAATGAATATGCTTGGCTTGGCTCGACTCTCTGATCTACCTCAAAAAAGAACCAAGTTTGGACCAATTTTAGGTCCTTTCTTGCCTCGCGTCTCTCCGCATTCTGTTCGTTGATTTTCATGTTCGGCTTGATCCCTGTTCAAACATTTTTCGGTGTGAGTAGCCAATTTTGATTTGCTGGTATTTCTGGTTTGGTTGGAAGATTGTTGAATACCTCGTCTGGAGCTTTGAAAGATGGTTAGGGTCACAATGTTTCCTTCAGGTAACTGCGAGGAAGAGTTTGCCGATCCAGGTCTCCTATGCTATTGGTGGGCCTGGTGCAGGTTTCGGTCAGAATACAGGTACTCTCAGTAAATCCGATTTCTCCTTATGGTTCAAATTTACTGGCTGCGGCCTCATGTGATATGTCTGAGTATATCTTATGAATTCTAAATTAAGAATAAGAAGCGTCAAAGCAAATTGAATTATTTTTTGATACATAAAATGGCAGTTGAACAAATGTGTCGTTATTCGTTATCTTTCATACGTAGACGAGAAAGTGAAAATCAGCTTCAGGCATTCAAGTGTCAAGCTCGGATACCAGTCCCGACCTTGACGCTTCTTATTAACTAAGTTTCAGCTAATGTCAAATACGGTACGCTGCGCCGTACCACACTGTACGTCAACGGTTTTTGAAAAATACGTTCAAATGCGTTGTCATGGCGCATTCTCTTTTGTTTAATACATGGTTTATGATTTGGGTTAATAATGCTCTAAATGACTATTTTGATTTTAAAAAATACAAAGTCACCACCTCTTGATTTTATAAGCCATCAATTCACACCTACTTTCCTTAAACGTCCCTTTAAATGCTCGGCAAACATTATTAATCTATACCCATTAATTTTTGTACTGGCCCACGTGGCTTAGTCCATGAGCACAGCTGTTGCACTAAAATAATCATGATTGCTTTTTCTATAAAGAACCTCAGAAATCAGCTGTTTCGCTGTAAACAAGTTATAGGGGGGGGGGGTTAGGAAATTAGACGATAAGCAAATTAGACGTGACCAACAAAAACGAATTTAGACGTTAAATTGTTTTTGCAAAACTAGTACAAAAATAGTATGATCCCATTGCATATCAAAATATTTATCACAATTGATTTATAAAATGTTAATTTCAAGATTATAAAACATTTTTGAAATGCATAAATTATACAATTGCGGCATGTGAAAAATGCGGAATGTGAAAATTGCGAAATGTGAAAAGTTGATTTGCATTTAAGAAAGCTCGAACGAAAGTTAATTGTAGTCGGTAAGCAAATTTCAGACATGAACAATACAATTATGTCTAATTTCCCTTATTTGCAATTTTGCATTGACGTCTAAATTCGTTTTTGTTGGTTACGTCTAATTTGCTTTTCGTCTAATTTCCTAGGCCCCGTTATAGGTTATTACGATATATTGACATGATGTATATATTTATTTTTAAAACTAATTAAAATTGTTTATGCGGTGGTTTGTTTGTTTTAGAAACAGACGCCCGAGTGACGAGTGGGCAGAGTTGGACGAGTTGAGGCCCCGATCTGCCTCCCTTCAGAAGAGGAAGGACTTCGCTGACCTCAAGAAGGAAAAAAACAGCAGGATAGAAAAAGCAGGCGCATCTGGAAGGTAAAATACAGCACGCTTTATCATTACGAGAATTTCCAATTACTGGCATTTTTTCTCTAAATTTAGGGAAAACAGGAGGGCGACAAAATTTGAACAGCTGCTGCAAAAAACGTTGTTTTCTAATTAACACGTTTGAAACATTTAAAACACGTTTTAAAAGAGCTTTCACGAGACAGCTTAATTCATGACGAAAAATTTATGAATTTATCGAAGAGGTATTTGGGAGCAAAAACCAACTCTGAAAAAGGAAAAAAGACATCTTTATTTAGCGTAGACTGCTGTTTATTTTACTCTGAAGTATGGTTTCGGAAAATATTTTATTCTGAAAAAATTTAAAAACGATTTTAAAAAAACGTTTAATAAAAACAGTCTGTTTTTGTTTCTAATTAACCCTGCATTTAATAGAATGTTTTGCTGTTTTCGAAGTTAAAGCTAAGAGTTTTCTGCAGTTATGGGAGTTATTCTCTAAGTTTCACCAGAAGCTAATTTTCATATGCACCAAATAATTCAACTTGAAGACTTAATGGATCTTGTTAGCTATCCCCCTCCCCTATGGTACCTTGTAACGAATTGACCCCCTATAAATTTTGTTCCGTGTAACGAATTGGCTGCCCTATTGCAATAGGGGGGAAATAGTTAGCAAGATCCGACTTTTTGAACCCATTGAACGAATCTTTCAAAAGAGTTACTCAAATTTTAGATTGGACACAGCTTCGAGAATGGCCAAGGAGGTACAGGATGCAAAACTGAGGGAGTTTAACAACAAAATCGCTACAGAGGAACAGAAAATGAAGTGAGTTAAAAAAGAGTTTGAGAAGAATTGAAACTTAGTGTTTACTTTCATCATTCATAGGTACTACTATGATAGAGTGGTCCCACGAAAAAGCAACTATGATAGACAGGTCCCGCATGCATTTCGCATGTTATAATTTTGAAAGCTATTATTTTGAAAGTGTGTAAATTATTCATTTCAAAAATCTTGCAAAATATGTTCAGCCAGAAACTTTTCAGATTGAAAAATGTAATCATTATTGTTTATTTATTGAATTTTGCTCGCTTTACTTTATTTTACGGTTTAACAACCATATAATTGGGTTGACTTATTTGTCATCAAAACCCACTATTGGCGGTTTTTGTTTTAATTTTCAACCTTAAAGTGGTGAGGGGGAGGTTTTAAGTGGTAAAAAGAACATGAAATTTGTTTGAAAATATACTGCGACATCTTTTCGAAAGGCGTAATCATAATTATTAAACGATTTGAGAGCTCTAGGTGCTAGGTGTCTTATTCTCGAGGGACTACTCTATCATAGTAGTACCCATTCATATTTTCTACTTTGAAGACTTTGTGGAAAGTCTTTTTTCGATTTTATATTTTAGAAACAAACGTGTTTACACTTGTGAAGCAATATTTTTTACTTTCTTTTTGTGTGCAATGTGTACAAACTTTCTTTTTTTCCAACCTAAGTCGCAATTATTGTTGCGACTTAAAGCAACAATATTTGCTGCATCGAATTGGCAATAAGATATTTTGATATTTAGTTGCCCCTTACAGCTTATTGATAGCATGTGCTTCAAAATTCGAATAGTTATAAATTTACACAGTTGACGCTTTTTTAATTCATCAAGTGAATCGAAGAAAGTTATTTGTTTCAAACAATATAACAATAATAAAATCTCGATTTCAGAAATTTTCTTTTCTAACTCAATATATCTCGCAATTTTTTGAAATGGATCATTTATACATAATGTGGCTTTATGATTTGCGATTTTTTACATGCAAAATTGTGTCTTTTTGTATTTGATGCTACTTTTGCTGCATCGAATAGACAACTTATTAGCATATGTTGTTGCATTATTGGTGGCTAGTTTTTGGGGATTTTAAGCATCCATGGCTGAATGGTTAGTGCGTGAGACTCAAATTTGCTAGGTCGCAGATTTTTGCTAATTCGAGTTTTTGCTAAGCCTCGAGTTTTTGCAAAATCGAGGCTTCTTTCAATTTTTTATTATGTCACTTGATAGAGCTGCTTTTTGATCGTATTCTCGCAAGTGTTTGCGAAGCACAGCTTAGCCTCTGTGTAAAAAAGAACAAAACTTATCCTAATTTTGTACATCGTCGCATTACTTGGTTTCTTTTCATCTTTTGCGGGTATTATATGAAAACTGCAGATTGTTTGTCCGCTAGCTCGTATTTGCTGCACACTTTTCAAATATTTATTTTTTTGTGTAAAATTTTGCCCGTAGCTGAAGATTTTAACATGCATGATCAGACTGCAGGGGCATTCTTTGTAGTGAATTTAGTTTGCATTGATATTTTTACTTGCTTCAGGGACAAAATGCAATTAGATGGGTGGCGTCAAGACTTGCGAGATGTTCAGAGACGCAACTACTACAAGCCAAAAGAACCTCCCTCCCAAAGTATGCTCTTAAAAGTTTCATTTAATTCATGGGATCAAATTAAGCTTCTTCAAGTTAGGGGAGTTAACTTGGTGGTTCGTGCTCTTCAAGTCTTTTAGAAGAAACCAAGGACGCTGAATAATGAAAAGGATGCTGCGGTATAAGGTCATTAGACATGATGGTTTTATGGGCGCTGATTTGATGGTTTTATACTATTTTAGGCACAAGAGGGCAGTGAAATATCGAGTTGAATAAATTTGATTGATAAAAGTAACTCTTTCGATCCTGAGCGAAACACTTTTATTCTCAGGTAGCTAAACCCGAAGTAGCGTCACTATCGCTATCTAACATGAAGCAAGCCGAGCAGGAAAAATTAGTAGTTTAATCGTGATAAAAACTCTAATTGAAAAATTGTACTACACTCATTTTGTATTTCAGTGCTCTCAAGAACCGAGAATTCTCCCTATGCAGTGGAAAAGAAACACTTGAAGTTCAAGAACAGAAGAAACATGTATAAGGTTGGCTTTGCTTTTGCGAATATGCTGTCATAGGTTATGCAACTGTTCTCTGCGATAAACTGCACGAAAACTGAGAAATTAATTGTAAAGTAGGAATTTTTAACCAAAAAAGAACTACCACTAAATACTGAATACTGACGTACGAAATCAGCAGATGATGTAATAATGGCTTTTTTTTTGTATTTGGGCAACTTGGATGTCTAACCAACCAAGATGGTACCTAGTAAATAATTTGTATTAAGTATAAGGGTCTAACTGAATGGCGAAGCATATGCGAAGTTTGTACCCTGTATCGAATCCCCTCGCTTGCGTAAGAGAGAGGTAGTAGACGAGGTCCGTCATCTAAATGGCGCTATAGGAAGACGACTCGAATAAAACAGCTGCCATGAAGAACATGATCTCGGAGGAGGCGAAGAAGGAGATCGAACTAGCCAGAGCAGCCAGAGATGCGGACCTGGAAAAGAGGATCAAACTACACACTCTCAACATCCAGAGGGCGGCTGCAGACAGGAAGAGAGGCCGACGATCCAATACCTTCAGTCGCCCCAACTCAGCTAATAATGTATCGCTTACGATTGAAGAGGCAAAACGCGATCTGGATAAGGTAGGTTTTCGTCTGTTCAAATTTTTTGTTGGAATTTGATTAAATTTAGTGAGGTTTAGTCGAATGTTTTTTTTTTGTGTTCCAGGCTCTACAGCTTCAGCGAGAATTACACACCAGACAAACTGACCTATCAAACTATATATAAGTATAACGAACTCATGGTTTTTTTGTAAATTATTGATTTGTGTACATATTACCTTGTTCAAAGTGTAGCTTATGTACAATATTTAAGAATTAAGGGAGCCTTTCAAAAATTCACGTGTTTGAAGTGTTTGTATCGGTAGCAATGTAGTTGTGGTCAGCTTTCCGTGCTTTTTATTATAAAAATTAGGAAACATACCTTGGTTGTGTGTTAGTTGAACTTTGAGACCTTTGTTTGCGCTGACTTAGTTTCGTATTTGAAGCGTTTTTGAAGTTTCATTTTTGAGCGTAGTTCAAGTTTCGTTCCCATATCAAAACTAATTGCTAAAATGTCAGAATCCAATAAGGTTCAAAAAACGCAATCGATTTGAATCCGCGTAATCGAATATACTTAATTAATTTCGCACAAATGAAGCAGATTTAATCCTCGGCAGCCCAAATTTTGCAGAAAATTAAGCTTTTTATTCCAGAGGAGATCTAGAAATTTAACGACTATTCTTAGGTCGATCGAATTGATTTCCAAGCTCTCCCTAAACACTAAACAAGCTTTACCGGTTTAAAGGGTGTTTGTTGAAGAATTGAAATTTTAATTAATGAAATAAGCTGAAAAGGTTTCCATCAGATTTGCTTTATTTTTTCCCAAAGGTCTACATATGTTATGAGAGATACTAATTTGCTCAGGTCTGGCGTTGGAATGTCAACGTGCCGAAAGGCCAGTTTGCCGAAATTGTCGAGTGTGGCAGTTGCCGAATGCTAGAGTATTCTTTGATTCAATTTTCAAGCGGAATTCGGCTGAATTCAAGCGCCAAGGCATGCTGCTCCTTAGAAGCTTAATATTGTCTTTCACCGCTGGCTGTTTTGCTGCTTAAGCCCTTATTTTTATTTGCATTAGACAAAGGTTTTCTGAAGTAAAGTGTAAGAAGTTCTTAACTACCTCCTAGAATGAGTTACATCCTCTAACTAACTCTGTTTATTGTTCTGAAGTTATAATATAACCTCAAATGACAATTTAAAAAATTTCCCGCATTTTCGGGAGAACTGACAGCTCGTTACCTCGAATCTTGACCGATCTGGCGCCGAGAAAAATTGCATTTTTTTCTGAATTTGAGTTAATCGATACAACAACAGCATGAAACATTTCGTCAGAAGTGACGCGGGTTGGGCGGCGAATATAGTAGCAAACCTAAAAAAGTTAAGAGTGCAGAAGGATTTGCGACGATAGCTGGGTAAGGTACCTCGACAAATCGCAGCAAAAAACAACTGGCAAAAAAACAATTCACAAAGAAAGAAACAAACACGCAAAAGGAGAACTCGTATAAATCTCGAAAGAAAAATAAATTTTCCTTTTATCTAAAAGGGAAACAAAAAAGCGGTTAAACATCATAGCCTTTGAGGAGTCAGAATTTCTTGGATAGAAAGGTTTTTTTTACAGATGAAAGTTTTTTACAAATGAAAAAGCTTCCAGCTGCAATTTTAGATCCTTGCTTTGATAATTTTTAAGATACCCTTTCTTTTAGTTGTACAACTTAAGAGCATTTTTAGGGCTTTTCTCCGAATTTCAACCAAATCAGGTGATTTTTGGTTAAACTCTGCTCCTTCCTTGCTGAATGAACTATTCTTTTTTTAAATTTCATTTACCGCATTGTTGCGCTGGTTTCGCATAGCTGGTTTAAAATTTCGATCTCATAGAATTCCACGTATAATTTCCCAGCTCATGTTTCTGCAAAATAATCAAGAAATGACCGGAGCTGCTCAATCTCAGTTGTTGAGGAGTAGAGAGCTTCTAGTACCGACTTCAAGTCGCATGCAGGAATGAGAGTCAGTGCAACAACGGATTTCTCTTTCTATCTTAAGCTTTTCTGTTTTCAACAGCCTGTCCTACTTAATTTATTTTTTTGCCAATTGGCCTGCGCAAAATGAAAAAAGCACCCTTTTACAGACGCTGTGAATAATTCCGATTTGAAAGCAGAAATTGCTGCTCTTTCGAAACTAATAAGAATTTCTGTTGGCGCTAATAGTGGGTTAAGTTCTTGTAACACCCGAAATGCTTGTTGGTAACGCTCTTCAGTTTTTAGTTGCAACAGAATGTAAGTAAACCATTGGAGGGAGCAGTTGTTCATAAAAGTTTTTACAGTTTATACTAGATCAAATATTGATGCACAACTTTTAATTGTGCCATCAGCGTGCGAAGTTGTTTAAGGCTCGAGAATTTTCAACTTGTCTCAATTATAAACACAAGAAGTCGTTCGCTATCAGCTTTTGCGAAGTGCTTAAAAAACCTGCTTTGAAAATTTCGAAGCACTATGTACTTTAAAAAGAGCAGTTTGCTAACCGTGGGCAACTATACAACGGTTTTGACAACTGACGTGGTTACAAAATATATATGGACAAGGGCGATGATGCCCTTGTTAAATTATAGGATTTGAGTAAAGCATTCGATGCTTATAAACAACAATTTACAAGGACGATCTTAAAGAGTTGGCTACTCAGATAAATATAGTAAAAAAATTAGCTGATCCTAGTGTTTCGCAAGGTTCAGTTAATGGACTAATTTTATTTGTCTTTTATAAAGCTGAGCTACGTTAATCACATGGTTACATTTCTTTTCACACTAGCGAGCAGTAGAAGTGTATTTGTACGAACTTTCTTTTTTTTCCTGCCTAACCCGCAAATAAAAGTGTTCATTGAAAGTTGAAAGTGTTGACTTATTTGGTGGCACTTTTGTCATAATCACGGTAGCGCAATAGTTCGTAATAGGGAACGGTTCGTAAAAAGCGACATATCATAACGAGGCTTTGGAAAGTAGAATACTCTTGCTCAGCTGCGCTTACACACGGCACGAGAGGAATATTGCGCATGAATCAGCTTTCTCCGCTCAATCTGCTGTTACAAATTGTCGCTTGTTACGAATTGTCGCCTGTTACGAGTTATCGTCTCATGTATAATCACGATCTTTAGCATTGGAAATTTCTTAGCATCTGTTCTCCCCTTAATGTGGCTAGTGTTTATGAATTGTTAAGCGTCCGTGGCTGAGTGGTTAGTGCGTGAAACTCATAGTTTCTTAGTGGCATGATCGAATCGGAGACGGCCAAATTTTTACTAATTCGAGGCTTATTTCTACTTTTTCTTATTGCTTTTTATAGAGCTGCTTTTTGTCGCGTTCTCGCTAGTGTTTGCGAAGCGAAACTTTGCTTGTGTGTTAAATTCACTTATGACTTCGCTATTTTAACTTTTTTACCGAGAATTAGAGTTCGTTCGACTACTTTCAAAGTTCGTGCGACTACTTACGATCGAGCAATGGACTATCCTTTCAAATTGAAAATTGAGGTAAATTTTAACATCCTAGTTGCTCTGTTGCCCGAAGCCATCAGCCAAGAAAATCTCTCCCCTTAGAGTTGTTTGAAGTTCCATGGGAATTGCGATGTTCTCCACGGTCTTGGACACAACTCTTTCGAGGCCTCTTTTGAGTAGAATCACTCTTGCAACCGACGTATAATTGGGCACGTTTGCTGCTCAGTTCTCAGAAAGGGCGATGGTTGCGTTTTGAGAATTAGATCCGGGATGTTGTTTTATTCTTTAGAATGAAAATAGTAAAATTTTTCATCTTCCAGTTTTTCACGCTGACATGTAGTCATTTGCAATAATCTTCGAATAAGTCGAAGCATATTTAAAAACCAAATTAATGGTTTACCAATTATTGCAATCAAGGTTTTGGATTTGTTTTGTGTTAAACGAACAAAAAGACTCAAATCCTTCCCTCATATTTGTTCTGAATTAAGCATAAAGTTAACAGATATTTAGTGGGGGATCACAAGTCTTAGCTTCGGAGTATTTAGGGGATTATCTTACTAGTTTTTGGGAGTTATTTGCTTGCGATTTGTATTTATGGCTAATTTATACAAGTTGTCTTTTTTGCGAGTTGTCGAGTTGCGGTTGGGTAAGTAGCACAGATTGATCTTGCTATATAAAAAAAGTTATGAATTTCGAATAATCAAAAAGATTATTGAAAACACATATTATCTTCATTTGTTGTCGATGAATTTAGTTGAGACTCTTATTTGGTTCGCGATGATTGCTTTTTTTTGTTTCCAGGAAAAGTCTCAAAATTTGTTCAGGCTGAAACTTACTTTCGCGGTTTGATTTTTGTTTCCTTTTAAGTTCAGTTTGTTTCCTTTGTTAAAGGAAAGTCAAACTCCACTATCGAAAAGAAAAAGTGATAGGGTCACAAAGTACGTGATCGACTTCTTATTTCGAAAATGGAATCCTACTTTTAGATTTCCCAACGAAACAAAATTTTTACCTTTAGCTCGAGTTTTCTCAAACTTGGTAAATTTCGTCGGACAAATGCTAGCCATAATTTGTTCGTGAAAAGCCAAGAGCTTTTCGACCATCTTTTTTTTAAAGTTCTCAAGATGAAGTTTTTAAAAAAAAAAACAAAAAAAAACAAGTTAGTTTTCTTTTCCGGTTTAATTGCGTTCATTGACTCTTCCAACTGACTGTTGGCTATCTTTGATAAAATAAAGTGCAATTGAATTGGGTTTATTTTTTCAAAATGAGTGAATAATTGCTAGCTTGACCTAAAAGCAGCGTCATGCTTGTTTTCCGTAATTCCGAGTATTTATTCCAAAAAGTAAAATTCATACTAAGTTTTTCGGCATGATACATTGTAATTTCTTGTAAACTTTGCTAAAAAGTAAACTCCGATTATAGTTACTCTGCAAATCAAGCTGAAAATGAAACTTTCAAAAACTTCTATTTCAAGCCTTACCACCAGGATTAAAGTTTACCTGTCAATTTTTTCACCTTGTCTTAGTTCCATTAAAAACCTATTAGAAAAGTTCATGGAAAACCAAAAAATAGTAGGTGCAAAAAAGTAGACCAATAAAAAATTTTCTTCGCACGGAATTAAAGTTTCTAAAATTATCGAACAATTAAAAAGAGTATCCGGAAAAGCTCATGAAAAAAATCTGTTATGTTTTGTTTGATGTCTTGAGAGGAACTAGACGAAAGCTTGGAACACGAGTAATTTAGTCTCAAGTGACGAGTTGTCTTCATAAATCGAAGCACTAAATGAAAAACTTTTTAAAATGTATTTAGCAGATTGTTTTGAAAATTTTTTGAACAATTTTTTAATGCCAAAGACCGGTA